AGTCAAAGGAAAAGAATTATATAATACATATTGGCTCACCGACCCAAATAAGGTTCCAGACCTTTCGAATTTCTTTATTTTAAGAAACATTTTACCAAACTATACACAAGTAGAAGAAAACTTTGATATGGATTCTGACCATTCTGCAGTAATCCTTACTCTAAGTGATAATGTTATTCAAAAAAAAAAGCAAAACCGACCCTAGCAAGTCAGAAAACTAATTTAAAGGGTTTTCAAGAGGTCCTAACATATACTATTCAACAGACCATAAAAACGAAAAATCGGCTAGATAAAGAACTGGATAGATTTATAGTTGAAATCCAGCAAAAATTCACCAAAAGTAAGAAGATTAACAGCTGGAAAAAACTATCCTGTCAAAATAAGAGAACTGGAAGCATAAAAAAGAAAACTAAGAAAGAAATAGCAGATGATAAGATCACCAGAAGATAAAAATATATTAAATAGGGCTACCTAAGGACTGAGGAGAGAACCCTAAATCACAAAGAAGAATCCTTCAACAGATTCCTAGAAGGGCTAACAGATGATAAAGAAATTGATTATGTGCTCTGGAAGGCAACTATAAATATAAAAAAATCATGTAAACACTATCCTTTTATCAGAATAGCAGACAACAAATGGTCAAGAGACAATCAACAAAAAGTTAATATTTTCGCCTACAAAAGACGTTCCAATTAGATGAAACTCAAGATACTCCTAACGAGACGATCCATATTATGGAACAACTTGAAATTAGGCTAGTTACTCCCAATAAAGTTAAAAAAGAAACTCAGACAAACATCAACTCACAGGAAGCCCCAAGATATGAACTTATTACTGGAGAAATATTATAGAAACTGCCACGAAAGACTATCGTCTTAAATGTGTACCTGATGCTTAGAAAATGGCTGAAGTATATCCTAATTCCTAAGCCAGGAAATGCTCCGAGTGTCATCATATAAACCTATATCATTGTTACCAATAATATCTAAGTTATTGGACAAGTTACTACTAAAACGACTAAAACTAATAATTCAAAATAAAAACCTGATCCCTACTTACCAAGTAGGTTTTAGAAACAAACACTCGACAATAGATCAAGTATCATCGAAAAAGTTTACAAAGAAAAATGTATACGCTCAGCTATGTAATTCAAGCATTTGACAAGGTTTGGCACGCTGGTCTGATACAGAAACTTGAAAAATGCTCCCTAGATATGTTGACATTCTTCAGTCATATCTAAGGAGAAGTATATTTAGAGTAAAGTAAGAGGAGGCATACTCCGAATAAAAGAAATTAAAGTAGGTGTCCCACAAGGCAGTGTGCTAGGACCGGTTCTTTACTTATTGTACACCAGCGATATTTCTGAACAACAATGTGTTCAAACAGCAACATTTGTGGAAGACACTGCAATATTGGCAGTTGGCGAAACTAATACAGAGACCTCAGAAAAACTCCAGGAAACCTGCAACAAAATCAATCGATGGACAAAAATGTGGAAAATAAAAAAATCAAACTAAATCAGTACATGTTGATTTTATGTTTCGAACAAATGAACACAATTCGGCCAAATATCTAGGGATGACCCTAGATGTATGATTTAAATAGAAAGAGCACAAAAAAAGCCCAAAGAACTTGAACCTAAATTCAAAAAAATTTATTAGCTCTTAGGAAGAAAATCCAAATTGTCAGTGTACAACAAACTGCTAATTTATAAACAAATCCTAAAACCAATCTGGATTTATGGGGATGTGCCAGCAAGAGTAATATCAACATGATATAAGTTTTCCAAAATAAAATCCTAAGATGCATCTATCGAAGCGATTATCTTCATGGAGATCTAAAGATGCCAACAATCGAAAAAGAAATAAAGATATTTGCTGAAAAACATGAGGGTCGACTCCACTCCCACGTCAACGAAGAAGCACTGCAATTACTGGACAACTCTACTCTCAACAGAAATCTCAAAAGAAAGTAGACATTTTAGCTTGTGCAGTGAACGCTAATGTTAGTGCTAGAGTGAAACAGTGTAGAAACATAATTAGGCTACGCCTGTTAGTCTTTTAATTAAATAAATAGAAAAGTAATAAAAGGTCACGCCAACGCCAACTGATGCTTTCCTATAGAAACAAATAAGACAACTTAAGGGACTTCTTAGATAAGTAATTACTTCATAATATTTTTAGAATAAAATTGTAGGTTAGTCAATATTGACTAGTAACAAAACTTCAGTTTAGATTTAAAAAATTTATTTGCCAAAAATATTTTTAATTTTATATATTCTTGTTTTTATTTACAAATATATTGGCAAATATTAAATAAATGTTAACCTAAACCTATATAATAATTGTAAATTGGTAACAAAGTACTAAATCTTTCATGATAACACTGTAGTAAAAAAAAAATAAAATTTTAACCTCCTTGATGCTGGAAAATGTTTTTTTTTACTTGACCAAAAAACAATTCTGGACATTGAAGTGAATTTAACTCACTGTATATAGGTATTTTAGTTATTAAAAGTTATACAATAATTAGAAAGATAAATTTTATTCTTATATTTCATTAAATTAAGATTCTCTTAAACAATTTTGTTTATTTTTTTTTTTCACGAATATTTTGTGGATTTTGGTAAAATATAATTCCTATTAATTTTTGATATTATTAAGTTACAATACTTAAAACTTTTGCTTAAAATTTTCGTGGTTTTCGAGAATCATACTTTGATTTAAAATGCAATTTTTCTTCGAGTGCATAAAAGATTGTTATTTACTTGGTCAGAAACAATTCTGGATTCTCTAAAAAATTGTTAATTTTTTACCTAAGTGTACATAAAGTAATTTTATTTTCAAATTTTCCAACTATTAGTAAGAAATCTGGTACATTTTTATAAATTGTTAATTTTGCAACTTTATTTGGACACAAACAAGCAGATAATTAAATTAAATTTGCGAATCAAGCCGTACATCTAAGGAATAATAATACGTGAATTGAATTTAGGAGTTAACAAATGAAATAATTTCAATATTAAGGCAGTCTAACTTTTTACAATTTTGGATAGTAAAACCTAACAATATGGGGTGCTTTTTGAAAAATAAATAGTGATTTGAATTCATGCTGTAATAGTAATTTATCTACAACCACCACAGTAAATCGTATATTATGTATCGTTTTGTTTATAAGTAAATACATCATTACGTAATTATATATATTACATAACAGTTTCATTTATTAAACTATACATATTACTACGTTGCTAAGTTATCGCCATGGTTACGATAAAAAGTTTTGACATTTCAGAAATAGAAAAATCGCCATTGTTGTAGTTACAAAATTATTTTTTTAAAGATCAAAATGAGTTTATCAGATAGTAAAAATGAATTTCAAGAAACTCCTAATATACTTAAAAAAGCTACTCATATTTTACTAACAAGTTACAGCCTTTAAAATCAAGGGCAAGGTATGAAATTCTTTGAGAATGTGCTTTTGGCAGATTTTGGGGAACTTATGAAACAATTGAAACCTGCATCATTTTAGGCAATGTATTCGATGTCAAGAATCGTCATTTCCATATAAAATAAAGTGAATTTTGAAACGTAACCAAAATAAAAGCAGTCAGACGGTTTTTAAAAGCAGAAATAGCAGACATAGCGATCCCAACCGATACCAATCACATTCGTTCTACGATAGGTATCGCTTTGTATCGATCTGTATCATTTTGGAGCGTTTAATTTTTACGCTCCTTTCTGGTTGTGCTTTACATAGTGATAAAAATTATGAAAAGAAATATCTAAATATAAAAATTATGAAAAGAAATATCTAAATATAAAAATTATTGTAGAATGTGAGCCAAAACTCCAAGTGACAAATAAACAAGTTCACTTTTGATTGCAAATGCTACGTTTCATTAAACTAGAATTGTCTTTCGACACAAATTTAATTTATTAAAATTGAACGTATGGAGCGTACCATGCAGCAAGCTGATCCTGCTACCCTAATCGCAGCAAGAATTCGATACACTCATTGAACGTAGCTAATGTTTCTTCAGTTAATTCAGTAGTTGCATTTGCAATTTACAATATTTTTAATTAGATGTAAATGTTATAGATTACGAAAACCTTCTCGTTATTTAGAATGTATGATTGTGGTTGTAGATAAAGTATAGTACACTACTCGAGTTGTAAGAGCAATTACATGCTCGTAGAATTACTGCACTCGCCGCTAACGCGGCTCGTGCGCAACTTTTCTACTCGCTTGTAATTCGCTTCTTACTACTCTTGTTATGTAATATACTATTACGTTACAAGATCGGAAAGTAGTGTTTTGCAGGTCCAGACAAACAGATTCTAGGGCGAGCCGTAGGTCGGTCGCGTGACATACAATATTTTTTTTTAGAACCAACACTTCGATGTAAACTAAATTATTTATTTTATTTAATAATGTGATTAACAAATACTAAAACTAGATAATGGATACAACTGCATAAACTAACCAAATACATTATTTTTAAATATTTATGTTAAATATACATTTTTGCTGCATCCAAATTTTTTTTTTGAATTTCATTTTCTATGTCAGATATTTTAAAATCTGAATACATGTTTTTAAATTTACAACAAGTTTGACATAAACAACAATAGGTGAACCATATATTGTATTATCCGAGTTGCGCAGTGTATAAACTGGAACATTGAGATTAAAAGTGCCGACGCAGAGTGAGCGATCTGATTCTTTAGTTATAAACTGTGACTATAGTAACTATATGATATCGGCATTACCTTGGAAATACAATTTTAACAAAAATATCGTCTCTTTTTTGTAATATTTGGTTTTATATCGCACAGCTCTTTTCTTATATTTATCTAACTCGTTTTTAATCTTTTTTAAATTCCTTACAGATTCTGAACGTCTCCTCAGTACTCTTTTCCTTCCTGTCGTTACCCTATCTGATACTTCAATATTCATATTATTCATGTTGTTTTCATGATCTGAATTGTTTATTTATGTCAAATGTTGATTCCTGGTTGTGTATATTCCATCAAAAATCTATTTTCTCTGGTAACTGCTTTTAAGTTATCTCTGTATTTCTTGGAATTTATCTTCCATTGCTTCCTTACATGACGTTTTTCTCTGTTATTTAACTTGTTTACTGACTTTATTTTGTTCTCCGTTTTTCTTTGCTCCGGATTACTTTTATGTCTTTCCCGTCTTCTTTGTTCAGACTCCCTTTTCTGAAGTCTTTGCTTTTCGATTAATTTTTCGTTTATTTTAACTATAGCTGTTATCTGAAAAAAACATGGAAATATTTTATAGACATCCATCATTTACATGGACAATGATAATCATCGTGCGAATGTCTATGGAGATGACGCTTCGAAAAAAAAATTTAATTTTATCAAAATGTCTAAAGCTAATGCCAAATCATTTTGAAATAATAAAGATAACACAATAGACAAACATTACCAGAAAACACGTACATGTTAAATAATAAATTATATTGATTTTGAGGTACACGGAGATGATAGTTAATAAAAATACTCACCTGGTATCCAACAAATTAGTATACATTTAACAAACTTAATAACAACTACACTCTGTGACTTATCAGATACAACTGACTGATGCGATCAAACTATGAAGACTAGAGAGAAGGAGGCGAATCGGCAATGGTCAAAATTCAAATTTCCGTCCTTCTTTTTATAAAGTTCGCGAAATTGACTGTAGTTGGCATGTCAAATAACAGCGGTGTCAACTTTCTATGTAAGTCAATGTAAAATGAAGTGATTTTTTTTAAAGAATTGGTGAAAATAATCAAAATAATGTGAAAAAAGGTACAATAAACGTATTGTCACTTGGTAATAAATCCGAACGTTGTTACCATAGTAACGAAATCGGGACAGACTGTATTATCAAACAGCGTTCGGAAAAATTTAAAAGAGGGACGGTAAAGCTTTTTCCGGTCCCTAACGTCTACTTTCTTATTCGGCAAAACGTTACTTTCTGGACGAAAAATAGTTCAAAAAGTGTATATTTTCTGGTCGGTCTTAAAAAAAATTTTTTTCATCCCAAACACAAGTGCACCATATTTTTTAAAACTATATTTTGCCAAATTACTCATATTAGCTATCCAGAAACCTATGGGTCACTCGTTATATATAACTTTTAAATTCAATAATACCCAAAGGCACATTTTTTGGCTTATCTCACTCAACCCACTAATCATCTTCCATTAAACATGATAAATCCAAAAGAATATTCTTTCTCTTTTAATGCTATTTATTGCGGCACCGTTTTTTGTGAAAATACACTAAGGCCATAAAATATTTTTTGCTGTTTACTATATTACTCATATTTATCTACCCACTGTGCGACCTACTAGCCGAAATATCTATAAAAAAAAGGTACAAAAATATCGTTTATTTTTTTTGCACGCGAGCATAAACCAAGAAAGAGATAAAAACGTCATCATAATATATAGCGTCCATATTTTAGTTTCCAAAAGTCGCCAAAGTTGGAAACTGAAAAATCCACAAGTATATCTAGGAGAACTTTATTCATAAAACGTTTTATTTAAATTCGTAGGTGGGGCGGATCGAATTATATGTTAAATTATGTTTTATAGGCCAGTATACAATGATTTTTATCTAAAGAAGGAAAGACATTCTGGAAAAAATCTTGAAACATAGATTAAGTGTTTTTGAAAAGACTAGAATTCGGCTGTTAGGGATGGATTAAAGATCTTCGAACGGGCACTTTATTATTAAAAAAAAGCTGTGGGGAATTCTACGTAATGTACAATTTTGCAAAGCATCGGCTGTTTGTTTGCTTACATTCATGGAATGGATTACCCTCAACGATTACATTTAGCACAGCAGCCATGGGAAAAATGAAAACATGAAGCCCATTTCCATCTCAACAAGCAGGAGTTGTAGGTATTGGCCTGTTGAAAATCCACGACGACTTTACCAAAAACAGACATTGCGATAATCGGTATATGTTAAATATTATGCTGGAACTGTGGCTGAACTGCAATAACTAATTTGTTATTTCAAATAAGACTAGCATGTGCAAATATGCCATATTTTAGGGTCAACGGGTTCATGATGATAACTGACAGTAAAATGTTATGAGCTAAGGGGAAATATCACTTTTTACCCTTAAATACTCGATTTTTAAATAACGAAAGCTATATTTAACTGCTGCCCAATGGACAGATCTAGAATTGTAATTGAACTAACTCATACAATTGACTTCAAAACAAATGTCGGGCCTTGAAACTCGAGCTGCAAATAGTAAAGGTTCCACTGCTTCTTGGCATGGAACTCTCTCCATATTTTTTTTATCTCATCTGCACTGAGTGGAGATTGTTTTGTTGATAATATTTCTCCAGTTTATGAGGGACTTTTAACAGGTTTCGATTCGTTTATATTAAAAAATTTTAAGACTTTTTCTATACAAAGTGAGTTTTAAGTATGGAACGCTCCAATTATCTTGGAAACGGCATGCACGATTTTTATAAACTTTGGTATGTAAAGAATTTGTAATACTGCCGATATTATGGTTGTTTATACCCTGTTATCCGATCTTTTAGTTTTCTGGAAATATATAAAAAAAATTATTTCTAATGAGTATTTTTGTTTGTTTTTGAAATCCTTAAAAAATACTAATTAATTTTCATGTAATGGTATACCTAAATGTTATTATTTTTGAGTTACCGCTACATTTACAGTATCTCCGCGGAAGTTAAAAATAGTACATTTAGATGGCTATGACTAATATAATAACAACTTGACGTTTTAATAAACTATTATTGCTGGTGTTTATTGAAAGTAACAATGGATCGTTTATCTGAGTAAGAACGAATTGAGATTTTAATGATATAGGATATGATGATATGCGTAGAAGTCAACAAGAAACGTGTAATATCTTTGATAATTTATGTCCTAACTGAAATCCCAAGATCTACTGAAAGTAAATTGGCAAAAAAGTTTAACCAAAATGGTTCAGTTAAAGATTTATCTAAATCAGGGCGCATATAACGATTTTTTTAATTGACAAACTTTATTTGTTTGATTATAGTATTCCGGGGAATCATGTATATTTCCTCATTTATCCATTATATCGAAGTTGTGTCTGGCCGAAAATGCAAGTAAATATTTTATAGAGCTATATATTATAACAGGACAATATGTTTCTTCGAAGTCAATACCTTTATGCTGCGCACAACTCTTGATCACAAGGCGAGGCTTATACTGAGGCTTTGTTTCACCTTCTTTAAACTTTTTTTGTAATGAAATAATGTATGACTCTGTATGTGAACTAATAAGATTTTTTTGATAAACAACTCCAAAGTTAAAAGGCAATTATTTTCTATTTTTTGTCAACAATTTCAACATTTTGTTAATTTTTTCACCTTACATATTCAAACTACGAAATAATTTTGGCTGCCCTCAAATAGTACAAGGGGCATATTTCTAATCCAACACAGTGTATCAAATTATCTAATATACAGTATTTCTCTGAAACATATCTACTTATGTCAGTATATTTATTGTTTAAAATTCATATATTTGGTACATATTAAGTTATATTTGGAAAACTTGTCATAGGATCTAATTTTACCAATAAGAATTTTGAAAGAATACATCGAGTACTATACGATATCAAATATTGAGAATCTTTGACGGTGATATTTTTTTTTTTCGGTATTTCAGCTATTTTTGTTCGGTGCAAATACCTACTTTGACCAAAAAAGATCTGCCGAATCATTAATCACCCTGTAAAGGACAATATTTTAATTATAGTAGTTAAGTATGTATTTTGACTAGCAAATAACTTCCAAATATATTTAACGGTGATTTATGGCGTCCATTTTAAAGAATTAGGGATATCTAACTTCAACACCCTGTATCTCAAAATCTAGTCATAGAATACAATTGGGCCCATGGACACTTTTGATGGTGACATCAAGTAATTTAACATAACAAAAATTCAGACATTTTGACGGTATTCCCGTTTGCATAAGAAAAGTGCGTGGTCCTTTACCCGAGTATCTAAAAGGTCCTTATTGACCATAACATATCAAATGAAGTACGTAAATAAAACAAATACCTCTACTTAATACCAGCTATTTATTTAAGAGCAATTAAACAAGATTAAAAAAAGTATGGACCTATATTAAGGACTAAGTCCAAGGTAATGACTGAACCCCTTAATACCAAACCTAAATTAAAAGCAAAAGGGAATAAATGAATCTATAAATTTATTTAAATTGTAGGTGCAAATTAAACTAAAATATGTTAAAAGTAACGTAACGGTAGCAATTAAACATTAGCAATTAAACATTAGCAATTAAAACAATTCTAACTATTAAACACCCCAGACCTAATATTAGTAATAATGCAATAGCAAAAACAGTACTAATAAAGCAACAAAGCCACAAGTAGCTAGTGGTTCTTGCTGGTTTTAAGGCGAAAAGAAAATAAAGATTACATTGCTTGAGCTCAGTCGCCACGTAATTTAGAGCCTAAGAGGTAAAATTTCCGTTTAACGGTTCCACACCTTAGAGACCGCTAACTAGTAAATGTATGTATTATTAAAAACTAGTCATAAGCAAAAAGTATGACAATAGGCGAAAAAGCTGTACAATGAGATTAAAAATATTTATAAAAAAAAGAAAAACTAAGAAATAATTTGCGTGCATCCAATACGAAGCCAGCATCAAGTGGAGGCTGATCCAGGACTCAGCGTCGCTATGGCAGGATCAGATTTACTGTTGTATCCTACTCTGAAGACGACGGCTATGGAGTGGATGCACTGAACCGATGACGGATGGTGATTTCAGTTCAAAAATAATCTAGGAATAAACTAGGAATAAACCAGGAATAAACCAGGAATAAACCAGGAATAAACTAGGAATAAACCAGGAATAAACCAGGAATAAACCAGGAATAAACCAGGAATAAACCAGGAATAAACCAGGAATAAACCAGGAATAAACCAGGAATAAACCAGGAATAAACCAGGAATAAACCAGGAATAAACCAGGAATAAACCAGGAATAAACCAGGAATAAACCAGGAATAAACCAGGAATAAACCAGGAATAAACCAGGAATAAACCAGGAATAAATCAGGAAATTTCCTGGCAAAGGGGTTTCCTTATTGGGATGGCTTCAGCGGCAAATACAGTTGTTGATTACCTCTTTTTATTATTTAGCGGTTAAAAGCCTAATTCTCTCACTGATTAAGGTTGAAATATCTTATCCAAAAGCTTCACGTGCACT